GATTTCTATTGACTGACTGAAATTGGACAGCCTCAAACAAAGTTTCATGCCAAAGTTTTTCGAGGCAGAGTTCCAGGCCTATGCAGCGCCGAATTTCAGCTGTGCCGTGGATAAAGCTTTTTAATGCTATTGACTCTTTTTAGGCTCTAACCAAGATGTTCTGAAATATTTAAATGATCACTGGGAGTTTCTCCCTCGTCTGTGGCTGGGAATAAAAGGAGAGAGAGAGGAGGGAACTTTTTATGTCAGCCTTTTACAATCCCTGAATTAATAGGCGCAAGATAATTAGAGAATTCTGTGCAATAACATTGTCCCTCAAGTTTTCTGGTCTTGGGTGGCATCGGGCAATGCATGCTGGTTTAAAAAAAATAATTCATGTGTCCAGTAGAGTACAAAGCGCTAATTCTGGAGTACTTTTAATTTTAGAGGGATTATAATTAGTTTCAGAGGAGAATTTGAAGAGTGGAGTGTCCCTGTCCAGGGTTGTGGCGATGTCACAGAGGTGTATGTATTTTTAATGGGAATTTTAATTCCATGAGAGGGAGTTTACATTTTGTGACTGCAAACAAACTACACGTGCTGGCACTGAATATCTCTTGAGTGTCTTCAAAATAATAATAATTAAATGCAATGTTCTAACATTTCTTAGTGCTTGATTGAACACTGAGATAAGTCACCAACAGTTAAACCGTCTATAAAAAGGTATATTTCTGTTACAAATGCATGGCATGACTGTATTTATGTGAAAGCGGATGCTCATAGTGACAGGCGTCTTTCTGCTTATTAATGTGGTGTTTGAGTAAATTTGTACTTTGGATTCATGTTCACTGCTCTTATTAGTGTTGTTTACAGCAGCTGCAGGAAATTGCGTACTACCTGCGAAACACCAAATGGAAAACAATCAAAATTACCAGCTAACCGCTGCATTTAGCTGCTCGAAGGGCAGAAAATGCAATCACTTGACTTGTATTCATCGGCTGGACTCTGCATCTGCCTGAAGCGTCATAGCAAGTCAAACAAGGCTACAGCCCTGTCCTCATGATCTTCATGATGCTCCACAAAACCAATGCTAAAATCTCTAAAATACTAAATATACTACTATACATATACTAAAATATGGTAAAATGTAAAACACTCCCAACAGAAAACTTTCTGTTAGTCATGTATTACATCTGTTTTTCAATGACTTTGCTTCATAATTCATGGAGCTATCTTTAGTGACAACAGAATATATAAATAAACAATGGTCGAGTTGGGTTTTCAAGTGAAATGACTCGAAATACAAATTCGTATCTAAAAATACAAAAGTTTCCTCATAGTCAGCTCGTTGGGAAGCTCATCGGTGCAAAGACGGCTCACCAAGTCAAGGTTTTCCATAGTTAACAAGGTCAAAGCTCTATGTGGTCCAACACAGCTGTCGTTTAAATAAGGCCTGGTGACAGTTGGTGGATTTCTTTCTTCTTCCCCCACCAGAAAGTTATTCAGTCTCCACCATTCCCTCGCTGCTTTCTTTCATCTTCTCTCGTTTCCTTCCCCATATTTTTTTTTTTCTCTCCCTCTCGTTCTCTGTCTCTCACTCCTTTCCTGTTTCTCTCTCTCTGTGGGTGTGTGTCCCTTTAGGGTGTCTGCAGCAGTTGAGATAAGAAGCGAGTGTAGGACACAGGGGGATGGTGTTCACAGAAGCTAGGTGATCTTATCTCCTCTCTCTCCCTCTCCCTCTCTTACCGAGCATCCCTCGCTGCTCTGCTTTTCCTCTCCGCTCTTCTCCTCCCCCTCTTTCTTTTTGCTCCCTTGCCCTTTTTTTTTTCCTCTTCCCTCGTCTCTCTCTCTCTCTCCTCTCCTCTCACACACACATTCTCTCAGATCCCCTCTGTGCTGCTGTTGATTTGAATTTGAAGTGATGGGAAACCAAATTGGCAGCATTGACAGCAGAAACAAACAGCTTATCTCTCTCTCCTGGGCCAATATGGGTCTTAGTCAGATACTAGAGCCGCTGCCAGCATCTGACTTGTGACAATGATGATAAATTGAACGTTTGTTGACTGTCACTTTTCATGTGTGTGTATGTGAGCGTGTGAATGTCAATGTGTGTGTGTTTCTCCATGTTAGCGTCTACGCCTCATCCATACGTTTGTGAATATACAGACAGGTAACCAATTACAAACCATATACTTAGCAGAATTTTTAAGTACTGTCCTTCACCGTCACACTGATGTTTTCTTTTATTACATGTATTTCATAGCTATAGTTACCAATAAATTTGCAAGTGAAGTTTTAATGTACAAAACATGTGATGATCTTATTGTATATTATGCATCAATCCCTGGTATTCCTCAACCAGACGTACATGATAAGACATGAACAGACATTACAGCGTGAATATTTATTGTCACAATAACAATAAACTACCAACTATGATAGGTTGATTACATAACTGACTGCAAACATATTAGAAAACAGAGAGCTAGCCTGAACCTCAAATATTCCATCTTTCGCCACGTTTATGTGAATGATGCATATAAACACTCACAACATAAGGCTTCAATTGCAATTAAATATAAATGCCTGGATTATGCTCCCAAACAATGTTCGTCAACTGCAGGAGTCGCCAAATTTTTTTATTGTACGCAAGTCATAGTGAGGTGGTCGGGGTGGATGGTGGCCACACAAAGCTTGTATTAAAACCACAACCATCTTCTTCCTAACCCTAACCAAGACTGTCTAAACCGAACCAATATGTTTTTAATTATAGTTAGTTGCTTATTATATTGTAAGGCAGGAGTGGATATTGTAAGAGAACAAACGAAAGACATTGTCGGTGAACATTCTGCTGATATGTCGAACATTCCGCAACCATCTCTTGCAAATTTTGTAGTATATAAATGCAATTTATACAGCTGTGGATGAATAGTTAAAAAAAAAAAAATAGTGAACTCACACAACAGTAAATTAGCCAAAATGATCTCTGTACCAACTACACTCTCCATCACAACGGTGCTAACACACACACATTTTACTAGGAATTTAAAAATGCGAAACTCTGAGGGGTAGCCATTCTTGTTCACGACAATTGCTAAAACTTTTGATATTTACCGCATTTTGCAAAAAAAAATAAAAAATCTCTTTCAGTTTATGCGACTTTGGATTTTGTAAAGGAGCATTTTTACGTTGTGGTATTGCTTTCGTGATAAGCGGGAGAAGATGGATGGATGGATGGATGGATGGTATTGCTTTCGTGTGAAACATCTAAACACTTCCATTTTAGCTGCAATTGGTGCCCGTGCTACAAACAATGCAAGCGAGCGTCAGGCGTGTGAAACGGAGGCTTGCGTGTCGTTCCTATGGGACGGTGCCGGCATGTAGTGTTAACACGACAGGCCCGGAGAGGACGAGGAGGTAGCCAAGCTGTCAGCGGCCAGCTCCCACTTCGCCTAATGAGAGAGAGGCCCGTTAATTAAAAACACCAACAGGCGGAGCTCCCCAGTGTCCCACCATCAGGACGACCTGGGGTTAAAGACACGGAGCAGAGATGATGGGAGGCATGCTGCTTCTACATGGTGTTGCCCTCAACAATAAATAGCCCCCAGAATTAAAAACAAGAACAAAGTGAACTACAAATGGGTAGCACTATAAGTAGGGGGGGGGCTTTCTTTAAACTGCACTGTGTCTATTGGGGGGAGGGGTCTATGATAATCGTCTACTGCTTAGGCCTTGATGTTCCCAGAACAAACTGCGGTTCTTTTGTCTCTTTGTGCTTGTGTTTGCTGCGTGGAAGCAAGAAACAGTTTGCCAAAGTCGGCATGTAGATGTCTGTAGTTCAAGAAATAGAAAAAAACAAAAAAAATTAGTCAAAGCCAGTGCGTTTAGTTTTATTTTTTTTCTTGATGTTGTAATATTTATGTCTATCTCTTTGTTCAGTCAAAGAACATTTATTCAAGGACTGTTTAAATGAAATGAGTTTAAATTAATGACGGTAGGTTCTGTTTTATTTTTCTGTTAAAATCTTCTGCACCTGCATTTACAGTATGAGCTCAGATTGTGTTGTGTCACGGCAGTCTTTTGTGCGATTGTCTTTGTAAGTGTTTTATTAAACTGTCAAACACATGAATCATTAGCCTTGATCTGCAGATTGACAGTTTGTCAGCTCTCTGACAGTGCTGTGTGCCTTGCTGTCAACAGGGGGTGGCGAGGGAACGGCTTACACGTTCCCCACGGCTTCTTCTTCTTCTTCTTCCTCCTTGCCTCCTGCGTCTCCATCTTCCTTCCACCCCCACATGTCAGCCCAGGTGCTAACAAAACCGAGGATTGTGGGTAGTCTTGGAACATATGGAGCAGAGAGATGGAGAAATGAGGGGTGGGTGGTGA